ATCTTTGGACGTTGAAGTATTAGCGTCGGTTCTTCCGGCGTAAGAGGCCACTTCCGGAACCGCACGAAGTGTAAGCGGAGAAATTGCCACGTCGAATTAACGCCCTGCCGACCAAAGCATCCGTTATCTCTCTCTCTCTCTCTCTCTCGCTCTCTCTTTTTCCTAAACTTACTCTTATATCAACAGTAAGCCTAATTTATCGTTAATTGTAAAATTATGTTCTTTTTTTATATATTGATACTTACAAGTTTTTCAATAAGAAATTTTGTTCTCAATAATAAGATTAAAATGTTGTAAAAATATTCTTCAATTTTGGTAACACTTTTTATGATTTACGAATTGTTAACATAAATTTCATCATTTGTTTTAATAAATAACATACTATAATTCTATTTTGAAAGATGAATATTTCTTCATGTAGTATAGATATTTATTATTTTCTATACAGTTATACAGTTATAAATACAGTTATATATCATTGAATTTAATTATTAATTATTATTATGTTTAATTTCATATTATTACAAATTCGGGACAATCAACATCAAAAAAATTATTTTAGAAACAATCAATTTTTGTATTTCAAATGATTTGTATAATGCATTTACTGATATTAATAAATATTTATAAATATACAGTTATTTCTATTTCTGTATACTCGTTTTAAGCTATTTGCTATTATGTTACTCTTGTACCATAATATTTTATGGTTTTAGTCAAATCTGTTTTTATATCATTTATTATCTTTATATCTTTTTCTCTCTATTTGTGTATAAAAGTGATAGACCAAGCTCTTGTTATTGCAAGGTAACCGAGTTACGAGTAAATAATCCTAAACCGGTAAATGAATTCGAAACTTATGCAAATGAAGGAGATGTTATTCGCAAAGCTTCTCTCTCGCGAGAGAAACGAAATTTCATTTGCGGGGTGAGACTCCGTAACGGAAGTTTCTTGGATTAACGAGCTACAAAATCAAATCTTTTCTTTCTTTCTACTTTGTTCTTCGTTTACTTTTTAATAATGTAGGATAATACGTATTCTTCTTTTACTCCTTATCTTGTTTTCTTATAATATTATAATAAGAAACTTGCGAGAAACTGTAGCTCCGAGACTGAATTTTTTTTTATCTATATATGTTTCTTTAAATATTCTTTTATAATTCTTTTATAAATCATTTCTGTGTGTTTCTTTCGACAATATATATATATATATATAT